GATCCCAAATTGCTGGGTTGGAACTTTGGTATTCCAGAACCTCAGTGGGATAATTTTGGCAATACAGTGGAGGAAGCATTCAACAATCCTTTATTTGCCAAACTGCACTATCGCTTCAAGCAGGAGAAAGAGATTGGTCGTGTCATGCACCTTGTGTCAGAACTTGTTTGTGACTTTTTCATCAAGGTGCTTCCCAAGTGGGTTCTTGACCACTCGATCTTGTGGGAAGAGTTTATGATTTTGGATCCAGACACAAATCTCCCAGCTTACAAGACTTCAGAGGCCGCCTTACAAGCAGAAAGGAATCCAGAGAAGTATCATACACATTTTGCTATGAACTTCAAGAAATTCCGTTTTTCTGCAAGGATTGTGTGGTATTTGATTGACCGTGACAGGAATCATTTAGAGAGTTTTCTTCACAACTCCAACAGTAGATTTGTGCAACATGCATGCTATCAACTTCGTGAGTATGTTCAGGCGCGTGTTGCAGTTTCTGATCCCTTGTATGAGATGATCAAGAAGGAAGAGTTTGAACGCCAATACAATTCCAAGTTTTTGGAGGCGATTTCTTGCTCTCGTGTTGTAGTTGAGCCTGTAAGTTCAGGGACGTATGAGCCATCATCGAAGCTGAACTTAAAGGTACTACAAGACATCCTGAAGGGTATCTTCAAGATCCAGAAGGATGAGGAGCTTGCCAAGGAACGTGATGAAGAAGAAGAACAGGCAGCTCAAAACATCTCATACCTGTTGGCAGATGATATGGAGCTTGATTTTGATGATGATGATGTTCCAGTATGGCGCTCCATTGTCGACAAGTATAGAGGAGGTGATCAGGTGCTACAGGGAGAAGCTGTGAAGATTACTCACCTGTTCAGGGATCAAAAGGACAATGAGAAGGCGACAGAAGCTTTCAGTTCAGAGAGGACTGATTTTTATGAGACCTCAGGACCTCTTCCAAGAACCGAGGGAGAAAATCTTGTAGAGGACTTGCTCACCAAGGATGTTGCAGAACAAGCTTTTGAAGCAGGTGAAGAAGTTCCTCCTTATACAAGAGTCTCCACTATCACTGGTGAAGTCTATACTGGAAGTAGAACACTTCTAGAAGATGAGAATATGGAAGAGGAAGTTCCTGAAGAAGATCCTGCAGTTGAACCTGGAAAGGAAGAAGAAATATTTGATGAAGATGCAGGTGTTTTTCCTTCAGAGGAACCAAAGATGGAAGTTGACCAGGAGGAAGCCAAGGAAGAGTCAACACCACACTTTCTGTCAAGAGAGATAGGTGAGGACTCGACTGCATCGCACTTACCATCAGGTGAGATGGATGCTAACCTTGATGATACTTCAGGTCAGCGGAAATCTAAGAAAAGCCGCCTGAATAAGATTCCTGATCCTCATTTTCATGAAGAAGTTCAGGATGATGCAACCATGGAAGAGAAGAAAGAGGCGGTGGAGAAGATAAAGGAGGTCAGAGAGGATGATGGAGAGAAGAAATTGGAGGCTGAAATCCAAGAATCTTTTCCATCTGAAGTAGTTGTTGAAAAGGATACAACAAAAGTTGACAATACCTATGAGTTGCACACTTCACCTTTAAAGTTGCTTGGAGAGCTTACAGGAGATCCAGGTATTGGCTTTTATCAACTATGCTTCAGGGAAACTCATGCAAGATTGCTGAATCATGTTTGTTTCAGAAAAGGTGAGATTTCCCATCCTCATTATCAGTCAAGGATCAACGAGAATGATTTTGTTCGATCCATTCGCAATATCTGTCCAGTACCTCCACCTGATTGTTATGAACATGAACCAGAGCATGATTTGAAGAGATTCTTCATCAATGATGACCGCATCATTTATTTGGATGGCAGGTATCAGGTCGATCCAAAGGCCCTTGAAAGGGCAGGTCATGCTCGAGAAGAATTGGAGGATACGAAAAAGGAACTCAAGAAGGAACTGGAATCATATGGTCCCAAGGGACCCAGTTGGGACTTTGTCACCTTCTATGAAGAGCTGTGCAGAAGGTTCCTCAAGGGAAGAATAGAAGAACCATATGGAACTAATTTATTGGCCAGCTCAGAGCCCTTGACATTTTTATCCTGGAACTATGGCAACATGGTTCGTGGTCAGAAGTACACCACACCAAGGTTTCTCCAAGGACTTGATAGTGCAATGAGGCCACGCAAACAGAGCGCCATGTCACTTCAGAATGAGCAATTTGAGAACAACCTTTTCTTCAACATGCTCTTCTTTTTACGTGCACATGTCGTGATTCTCCAGGAAGCTCATCTTCTTGTTCCTGCCAAGGAATTTATTGAGCAAAAGAATTGGACAGTTTGTTTCAATGATTGGGAGAATCTTGCAGTGATGGCCAGATTGGCACCAGGTGGATATGTCAAGATCATTGCTGGACATGATCAAGAACTTGGTCATTGTGAACAGCGTGATGTAACTTGGGCTATCTACGAGATTTGTTTTGGAGAAACAAGGCCTCGTCAAGATTTCAAGGATGCAGACTTTGAATTTGATGACTATGGTCCTGAGGACAAGCGCGTTCCACTTACTCGAGCGAACATGCATACCATCAGAGTCTGTAATTATCATGTTGATACACACCGTGCTGTGGATGCCCACCTACTGACAGGAGAACAGACAGCATTGATGCTTTACGAGTGTTTTGTCTATGAGGTGGACATCATTTCTGGTGATGCAAATAGTTTGGCCTACAGAATGTCTGGGTACAAAAGGCAGCCAATGGCTAACTACTATTACAGCACCATGCAGCATTGGATCCGCAGGTTTTCAGAAGCTCGTGTAAAAGCAGATCCGGGTATCAAAGCACCTATTCCCAGAACATTTTACAGTTCAACTTCACAGGTCCTCAAGAATTGTGAAGATTACTTTGATAAACTCTGGGAAGAATACTCTACTGTTGAAAAAGAAGAATACCAAGGATCACAGCTTGGCGATACATGTTTGTCTACCATTGTTGAATGGGGTCATTCAATGAGTGAAGAGGAATATGAAAATTCCACAGTGAGCACGAAGGAGTTCATCTGTAATTTTTCAGAGAACTTTGCTATGATTGACACAGAGGTTTTGTGCTCAAGGCCCACTGACGAGGACAGTCATGGTCCAATGTTTATTTCACTCAGACCAGCTTCCTTTTCATCTGGAGACAGAAGACAGTATCGCATGGGAGCAACGCTTCATGAGGCGAACTTGCGGAGGAAGGAGAGACAAAAGCAGAATAAAAGGAAAGGAAGGCCGCCAACTTCTGATCAAGCAACTTCATCGTTTGCAGCGGCATAATTCCTGAGCGAAGGCTGAGATTTAAATGATGGCTAGGAAGTGAAGATACTTCTGGTTACAGTTGATACTTTGCTTCCAGGCTTGACTTTAAGTTGCCAGGCTGAAGTTTTAATAAATTCTGGTTGCAATGAGGAGAAACTTTTTATCAAAGAAGATACTCCTGCATTCCAGGTTTATACGCTTTAGCATGCAGATAGGTATGGACAGTTTTGCATAACTGATGATATCTATCACAGCCGCTTTTTCTGAGATGACCTCTAATGGACAACCAGTCATGGTTGATGATTAAGTCATTTCATGATTTGCAATTGTAGTGCAAGATTTTTGTACATACATTTGCCGGTATCTCCTTCTTGTGTTTTGATGTGAATGTGAAAGAGAGTCCTTTTGATGCAGTTTATTTTGTCTGTGAATGAAAGCGGTCGAGACCACGTCACGAGAAGATTATTCCTCGGACCGTACGCTCCTTGCATTTTGCAAGGCATCTTAATTCATTGCATTGCGCGGTCTTGAATTTTTAGTTCTTTGTTACGCGAGTGTCGTTTGATTCTTTTATAGGTCTCTGTAGAGAAAAAGCCGCTTTCCCTTTTAGTTTGATTTAGCTCAGGCCATAAAGAGCTAGTGAGCGCCGGTACATGGTATCTCCGCCTGCGAAAAGTACAGTCTCCAGCCGAGGTACATTATCGTTTTGATTTTGTACTTGAGGTGAGTCAGCTATTGCTCCCTCACTGTATTTAGTAGCTATGAGATTACCTTCTCTGAAGTGTGAAACACACTGGATTAGGTAAGTACATGGCACCGTAGTTTTCTTTTAAGTTGCTAGAGCTAGCTGGACTGTTTTAGCCTTGCAGTAGAAAAAGAGTATGCGACATACGCAATCAGCTAGGAGTGGACATGAATCTTGTGCCTGCTGAAAAGTAGAGCCTACCTGTACAGGGTTCCACTCCAACAGCTGATATAGTGTGTCCATGCTTGACTGCTTCAAGGCTCAAAGAGCAAGAGGATAAGACTCTGCGCATAAAAGACACTAGCGGTCTGCACCTCTACCGTGTACGCCCTAGTCACTCTTTCACCCCCTCCCCCCCTCTAAAATCAATTCTCTCCTGGAGAACGTCTTCGTGAGCCTCTTATGGTTTCAGGATAGTTCAAATCCTATGATGTTCCGATTCAATGCTCACCGATGATCTGAGCCATGGGGCAAGTTTGTTTTCCTAAGAACCTTTTTGAACATGTCGAGAGCATATGTTTGAACATTTAGAGTGCATATGAACATATATTTACGAAAGGTCGCCTCCGAGGGGATAAATCACCATGTCGAACATTGCATTTTTGTTCCTGCCTCTCGCGTTCTCTTCTCTTCCCGCTGTCCTACCTTTCGTGTCTCCCTCCTCTCAAGTCCGTATCATCCGCATCTTATTCCTAGGATCTAGTTCTTTGTGATGCAGCCCGCAGCCCTGTGGACCGTCGACGCCATTTTGCCACTCCCGGGCGACCCGCGGACAGCGCTCGCGCCGAGCACCGCGGAGCCGGGTGCTCTGGCCGCGACGGGCGGGATGGGGCAGTGGTTAGGCCCATGAATTCGTGGGTAGCTATAGTTGTAAGATGTTGTAAGAAGCTACCTAGTAAGGACCTAGTAACAAGGGCTTGTTACTACTCGTAAGCTACCTAAGTAGCTCAGAAAAACCTATCACGACCCCGCAAAGGACCCGAATTCACTTCACTGTGACGTTTTTACAGTGAACCTCGGGCAAAAAAGGAATATCACGAAAGGTCGCATGATGTCGCATGTTCCCATTTTATTCTCTCACTTCAGATGTGTCAATTCTTCTTCCATTCTAAGATTCATTTTAGTAGCCCTTCTCATGAGCCGATTCTCTTCATCCACTCGCACTTCCCATTTTCGTCGGGACTATGTGAAGCCGTTGGACTACGCTGAAAGGGGGTCCGCTTCTTTCGGTCGGGCTATGAATTCAGATTCAAAAAGTTTAACGAATTCATTATGGCGAAGACTCACCAATTCTCCTAGATCTGAGATATCGGTCGCAGATTGGTATCCTGTCAGCCGAGTTGGTCATGGTTACGCTGCTGTCTTTACAACTTTGACTTTAGTGGCATGCCTGGTGTGCTCAAACTGCAGCGTAGAAAGCCTCACAGCTCTCGTCCAGTTTGAAAAAGTGTTTCTTTGTGTTGGGCCATGTACGCTCGCTCTTTCTGCTTGCTCTTACTTCTGGCAGCTGTTTCATCCCACCGAGACTCCAACCATCTGGAACAAGTGAGCCTAGCAGCTGAGATCTCTGCCCACATGTCCACAGACCTTCCAAAGAGAGGCAAGAAGTGTACCTCGACCTGTGCAGAGACCAAAGCCGCGGAGCAGCAGCAGTGTTGTGCCGAAGGCTTGGTGTGCGACGTGAGCGGCACTTGCCAGTTGGCCTTGGGTTCCAAATGTAAGTTGAGTACCATGTTTGGCTTCGGAGGACCGCAGAAGTGCGGCAAAAGCTTCTCAGGACCCAACTTGGAGTGTGGTTCTGCCGATGCAAAGGGTGATTCCTATTGCTGCATCGAGACTTACACGGACTTCAAGGAGCCAGGGCTATTGGAGGTGATGAAGCATGCGCCACCAGATGGAGACAAGTCCAAGTGCTGCAGTGGGAAGGTCGGCAACTTCAAAATGGGAAGTCTTTGCAGCTTCTTGGGCTAGCGGGCGGCTAGCGGCAGCTTGGCAGTTCGGCTTGTTAAAAAGATGCACCAGTTGCCGGCTCAACTACTCACTTCTCACATCAGTTGAAACCTGTACTTGCTTTGACACTAGTTGATACAAATCGGAATGATCGACCACAGGGCTTTCTTTGCTTTCGAGAGATGGTGTTCTTGTTTGATGCTGTTTGCTGTGATGGCTGCTTTGGTTTGCGCATTTGAGGTCATGAAGTCATCCAGAACTGTGACATGCTGAGGGTGATTGAAGGCGTGCTCAGGGGTGTTGCGTTGGGTTTGAGAGTTCAACCAGAGTGAACAGATTGAAACATGGCCACGTCGTGGGCCACGTCGTGGGCCACGTCGTAGGATGTCGAACACTCGAGTTCTAAACGTGGATTTGCCCTCCAACTGCGAAAAGCGGTTCCAGAGACAGAGTCACCGATAGGATCCATAGGAAAAAGACACATCAAACCCAACAAAAGACATGCAGTTACTGCAAGTGCACAAACAACAAACTAAATGCAATACATCCCAATCAATTCTTAATGTCTTAATTCTTGAAAATGTTACGTACCTGCAGCACCTCCTGGAAACCTTTTGTCGTCCATGGTGCAAATTGATGTCTTTTGGTGTGTTTTGCAAGAGTTTACGTCCATGACCATGATTTCACGTCCATTTGTAAGTTCGAACGGGTTTTCACGTCCATCAGAGGTGGGTCAAAAGGCTTCAGAAAGCATGGATTGATAGGATGTTTCTACATGCTTTGACCATATACCATAGAACATGCACATAACTTGACCAAAACACATACCTTCCCACCTTCCCAACCAACACTTTTTCAGCACGCCTGTCCCCCATCAAGCGCGGGCCCATAGAATTTGGATGTGACACAAATACCTCTCTAGGGTCCGTTGAGGAATCTTTTGGGGAGATACCCCACGCGAGATGCAAGCGCATCTTCCCACCATGTCTTCGTCTACCGAGCACGAATGCACGGCTGGGTTCACCACAAAGTTTGACAATGTGGCCTGATGCCGCATCAGGTGTCCAATTTCATGAACAGCATGCAATTTTGGCAGCATGGGATAAGCTGCAACTCCCTTCTCAAAGGAATCATGGGCCAAAAAGCAATATGCCCGAAGCCAACTGTAGAGTGAAGCACACAAACAACGCGCCGTCGCACTTGGGATAAAAACATCCCCCTCGTAGAGGCCCCGCATGAAGCGGTTCAATTGCTGCGTCCCATAGGCCTCAGATTTCAGAACAGCTAATCGAAGGGTGAGAGATCGACATACAAATCCTAAATTATTAGCAGACATTTGCAGGAGTTGAGACATATATAACATCATATATCAACTTTCCCAAAAGCATATACCCAATTCATCACAGGAACAAAAACCCGAAGGGCTTTATCGTCTTGAATTTGTTCAGCATGCTGTCGACAAAAGTCCTCCATGAAGAGCATCAGATTGGACGTCACACATGCCTTATTCCAGGCACCGTTGCGTTCCTTCCCAGGGCCACCAAACGTGAAAGCATCTATTTTTCCAATCACCGGTGTAAGATGCTCACGTTTGCAAAACTCTTTGTAGCATCTCGACATCGTAGCCAGTCTCTTATCCACGTTGGACTCTGGTATGAGCTTTTGCAGCTCCATTGCTCCACCAGCTATCCACGATTTGCCAACACCAAGATGAACACAATGCCAAATGTCCAAATTGTGAAATCTCACCTTTCCATTCACATCGCCGTCATGTAACAGCAGCCGCGTGAAAGGAGCCTCCATGGCCCGATTCCAGGGCACCTCGAGTTCCGTAGTATGCGACAAATCCATGGCTTTCTCCGCATCTTTCCTTAATTTGCAGAGCTCATGAGAGGACGACAAATACAACGACACATAGTCGCTGTAAACTTTCTTTGGGAAAACACCACAAATATTGAATCAACGTGCTATTGCGCAAATGATGGGTTGCAAGTTTTCCCAGTCCACTCCTTGACCGCACGAGCACAAATGGCATACGCCAGCCCCTTCCCTTCCATAGTCATCATCACCAGCTCCTTTTGGGGCCCTTCTATACGACCGGTCAAGGTGCGCGCTTTCAACCTGCGTTGGTTCACATATTAAATTGGGACCCTCCAAATGGAACACTTAAACTCATAACATCCAACAACAAAACGCCTTGGTTTGGTCTCTCATGCCCATAAAGCAGCAAACAAATCCGACACATTTTAGCCATGGAACTAGGTAGCTCCAATCCCCCTTGTTCCCCAAAACGATGGGGAAGATGACATCATCTCCTTCAAGGTGAACTCCGTTTAGTTCACAGTCTTGAAAGTCTTTGCACACCATCTCAAAGATCGCGTTCCAAACTCTTCGGTCATCACTGTACAATTCCTGGCAGGCCCAAAACAAACCCTGCATGGAAACATCTGGAAACCACTCTATTTTGAAGCTTGTACGAAACCGTGTTTGGCCAAAGTCCAGTCCTTGGGGCAAGTACAAATGAGCATCCGGGTCTGCAACCCCGTTTTCAAAAAGTTCATCGGAATTCCCTCATCCATAGCTCGCAAATGTTCTTTTCCCAGCTTGGCGCTCTTCGAGGTTCCAAATCCAATCACCCCCTGGAAAGAAAGTATCAAGATACCACCCCGCTTGAAGCTTGTTCCCTCATCACCATGTATGTACAATGGTATGCATTTGGCGATGTCTTTCTTGGTGGCGGACAAGTGGTCCCACAGTTGATGTTTTGGATAGACTGCCCGATATTTTTCCCAAAAGGAAAGTAACATTGGCCTTGCAGCTTCCAGGTTGTGTCCTCCCAGTAGGTGACTGAGGTCGTTGGTCTTGTGCAAAGATCTGATGAAGTCGCTTGGTCGTATCCACGGAAAACCCACCAGTGGTGGCCTTTCTACAGTGGTCACTTTGACCGGGTAGTAGAAGTTGTGGTCTGCAAAAACTTGTTGGACCCCAGCTTCCTCAACTTCAGGGAAAATGTAAAGCAGGATAGCAAAGGGAAAAGCCCTATAATGAGAAATCATTTCGGAGCATATAGGGAAGTTTAGTTATAAATCCAATTAGTTTGTATATAAAAAGCTGAGGTGGCGTCCAACAATGCAAAACATATTGCATATACAAAATCCCAGGGTCTGACTTCTTTGGATTGATCATCGCCAGGGCGCTCAGAACAGGACATGGTCGAACCTGACGGCCTTCTGCCGCATCGCGCATCTCAGCAGCGGCAAAGGAGATTAGGTCTCTGCATTTGTCCTGATTTAGTCGGAAAGGCACGCCATGAGGAAAACCATATACCTTTTACACAAAACATTTAGTCCGATAGGATGCAACAATATAGGCTTTGTCATTTGTGGGTGAGGATTTCAAGATCACACGTGCAACCACTCAAAAGCATCCAGTGCCAAATAGTCGTGTGAACCCTGTTTCGCATTCATTCATGCAAGATCATGGTAGTGCCAAGTTTCTCCACGGCCGTACTTCCATGCCAGCCGCCTTGCTTTGTGCGAGGGCCCTGGCACGCTTGGGTTTGGGAAGTGCGTCCAAATGATTCAGAAGGATGGTGGAACATTTTCATGAGATTTTGCGGGGCAAAGTTAAAGGTTATAGCTCTGCTTTGAGCGCTCTCCCATCCCATCCCATCCGAGGCAACCCTTCTTCTTCTCCTTGCGCAGGGATCATCAGATCTAAATTGACCGTGGCTCAAACCACGGATCTTGGAACGACACAAAAGCCCTATTGGCCCCAGAGCTTCCGTGTTCTTCGACACAGAAAATGCTTGAGTCATGTGTTCCCACATGGCATATAACCCCAAATAGAGCGCCAGAGCACAACGAGGATACAAACAAAGATGTATAAAATGTGGTGGACCATGTATTGATTGATGGTTTAAAGTGCAAGTTCCATACATGAGCAGAGTTCACCTTGGTTCCGGTGCTTAGGCCTCATTGTGGCGACGCTTGCCAGAAGGAGCGCTCTCGGCTTCAGCCGGGTGATTCTTACCCTTCTTGCTCCGTGACGACTTGACCCCTTTGGCCGTTTTGCCTTTCTGCGCCGGTTTGCCACCTTTGGAAACATTCTTCGAGGACCCTTTGCCTCGATTCTTTCCCTTCTTGTTTTTTTTTCTTTCTTTGGGCGACCAGTAGGCTCAGAATCATCCAACTTCGAGTCCTTGCACAACTGCCTGGACCCGTGTAGCATTTTGTCAAGGGAAGGGACCAGGGACCCATTGATGGTCATGCAGTGTAAAGTTCAATAGTGCACCTTAAATCGGAAAGGCTGGCCTGTAGCGTGCTTCAAGTGGGATGAGGGCTGTGCACCTCAGAAGCCCCGTATATGCACCAGGGTGTATACTTATATAGAGCATATTGCAAATGATACTTTGGTATATAGATAGAAAGTTTAATCCAAGGTACTGGGTCCTTACAGCATTCTTCTCATCAACCACTTGCTTCAACAGCCTTGGATATACTATATAGGCGACACCATGTCATGCATATAAGGACCATGACTTCCATAAAAGGACGTGGTGAGAGCCAACACTTTTCCCCCAAAGCACGATAGACCTAAGGTCGATCCTCATCTAATTGGTGGCGGCGTCCGAAAAGAACGGAACACCAAGTACACCAGATATGGTCCCAGCTTGTCGGCATGGATAGTTTCACCGCCGTCTCGAAGATTTCGACAACCTGGCTGTCCTGAGCGAAGGGAAGGACCCATGCGGCACAAACACTGAACTCAATCACGATCGATAAAGCACACAAAGGTGTTTGCTATACAGATCTATTCATTGGTGATCATGGGTATATATGCTTTCAAGAATCCTTTATGGCGTTGTATGATGGCTGTTTCAGAATTTGCCCCGGTAACGTGGAACACTTTTGTGGCAGATCATATCCCAGCATGGGATCCCTGTCGATGGTTTCAAAGCACACCCTGGTCCTTTCAAGCGACAACACATCCGTGCCCAGGAGATTCATCCAGTGATGGCGAACTACAGGCGGTCGGACAGCAAAGCCTGGCGGGAAGGATCCACCAAGAGGGAACCCCTTTCTAAAGCTTCGGCCCCAAGGAAGTAACATGTTCATGCGCATAGTTGCTGCATGGTTTGGCATATAACCCGAAATCTTCATTGAAACCATGGTTTGGTGGCGTGCGGCGGGCCTGGTACATCTTGAGTGGGCTTTGAGATCATTGGGATACTTGCCTGACCAAACAGAAATGGCCAGCTATAGCAGAAATTTAGGTTTGCCCACATGTTTACATGGACTTTGTGAAACTTGAGTGGGTGCCTCCTGGTTGTATTTTAGCAGCTCCCGAAGCCATTCTTCAGAATCATCATCGTTGCGATGCCCATGGAAACCATCCATATAGGAAGCGGATGGCAAAAAGTCTCAAAAATGCAAACCCCTGCTTGATGGTGGAAGCATATATATAGACATAGCTGTTTCAAGATGTATCGATCACATCCCAAAGAATATACCAAAACACAAACCCTCATTGTGATACGCCAAAACAATAAAGGTTTTGGTTCAAGAAGCTCAGTCAGCCGATCGCTCTCTAGTCTCCCATCCCTGTGGTCCAGCTTCAGCTCGGTCACTTGGGCACCAAGAGTCTCATAGCTACTTGCCATCTTGGTAGATAGCGGCTTCAAGGCGTCATGCAACCTTGGAATTGCACCCAGATCATATATAGGTTGGGTTGTGGATGTTGCGCGTATAGATAAATAGATCCTGTTTACATTCCTGTTTCAGTGATTGAAAAACCGTTGATCCAATGTCACGAGTTCCCATGTAATGCCAGAACACTTGTGACACAACGGATCCTTCTTGCCCGAGAGTTTGGCGATCATTTTCTCGACAACTTGGTGTTTCTTCTCCAAAGACTGCATGTAGCTCTCCAGGTCCACCACGGGCTGGCCCAAGAACAATGTGAAGAGCAACCCCCAAAAATATAATGCATTCAAATGCTGTTGAAATAAAATCTATGTGAGCCGATTGGGTGATATCGAACAGATCAACCCCCCGTCCTGTGATCCCACCACCTCTGGCTTCATTGTTGCACGGGGGAGGTTCACCAATCCCTCCGGCAGCGACTCAGGCGCAGTCTTCGAAGACTTGTCCTGATCGAGGAGAATTTGGTCGACTGCAGAAGGTCGGGTGCAGAGTATTGATCATACAGGGATATATAACTCGTGGGTTCAACCGTTCCAATGCAAACAAACCACCATGTAATGTGACCGAGCTTCATCCAACTGCGTTTCCTCATGTTGACGGGTGGTCTCCGACTTCTTCACCATGCTTTTATCTTCAGTCACCACGTAGTATTCATTGATCTGATCATTATACTGCCAAGGCCTTTGCAGTGTCAACATACACAATGGATATCATTGGATGCACATGCAAGGTTTCATATACATAAATATGGCAGCACCCTTGCAACATGTGAGCAAAGTATGTTCAATCTAGCCTGATCAGCGATTCAGGGAATTTTTTGCAATATGACACGATGCTCTTCACCATCGAAGCCGTAAACTTCTCGTTCTTCTTAAGCTGCTCCTCCGTGTACCACCTTCCTAAGGTTTCCGACTCCTTTGATTCCATCCTCTCGCGGATGACCTTGACCTTCGTGATGAAGTCTGACTGGAGGCAGGGCACGGCGAGAGCAACGGAACATGCAAATCTATACACTTGGAACTATACAAGTGGATATATATAGATATATATACAAGTGGATATATATATACGCCTGATATCCCACCTTGATTTCTTGTAGACCGACCTGTCCAAACCATATTTGGCCAGGCATTCCAACAAGGCCATCTCGAGAACCTCACGGGTTTGTCCACCCTCCTTGTACTGCTCTGCAGTAGCGGCATCAATGTTATACTTGCCCGTTGGTTTTTTCTCGCATAGGCGTCTGCAACGCATTCGAAGAGCATCGGCGGAGATTCTTACCTGTGGGTTTGGGTATAAATCTGGGTTTTCAGATTGTCAATGAAGTTTGGTGCACACACTACATTGAAAGACTATATAGATTGAAGCATGAACTGATGCAGTTAAAGGTACACTGTGGCCACTTGGGGTAGTGATGACCGATTCTTCATCATCATCTGTTTCATCCCCTTCACCACCTTCACCCATCATGCAATCACCAGCTTGAGCTGACTTTGACAGGGCCCGTACTCCCTGTTCCTGGTTCAGATCACCTTTCGGTTCTGGTGGAGTTGGCTCGTGTTGCTTGAGCATCTCTTCCATGCGATGCATGCGGGTCATAGCTTGCTCAATCAACGCGGATACTTTGGCACTGGAGTTGTCTACAGGTGGGGCAGGGACCTCTGGGGTCTTTGGTGAAGCTTGGGACAACAGCTGAAGTTCCAGCTCCTTGATCTTTAGCTGGAGTTCCCTGTTCTTTAAGGCCTCCGCATCAATCTGCCGTTTCATTGCCTTGCCGTGGTCATGCGTGTGCTCATGACGCATGTGAAATATGAACATCATAGTACTGTTTGTGAAGTCTATAGGACTGTCCCAACGATGCCTCCTCTTTGGTTGAATCTGGAGATGCGGCTCTGCTTCTAGGAGCAGGAGAGGAAGTGATGGCAGGAAGACCCGGCTGCTTCAAAGCAACTTCTTGAGACAAATGACTGATATCCTCATAACAGCAAATCATCTCACTGGGGGCATTGTGATTGAACACATCGAAATGCTCTGTGTGGGATAGATATATGGATTGATATAGGAAAACATGGAAACCGCCAAGACACCCCTGGGACGGTGACCTGTGATGACATATCTCCTTCCTCGGCTGGGGTGCCCATTTCTGAGGACAGAAAATGGAAAACACAGTAGGTCAATAATTCTTGAGTGGCAATGATATGACTATATCGAGTTGAAAAAATATCCCAGGCACTGACGACATCGGCGCAGCGACAGGCGGTGCTGGCGACGAAGGCTCCTGCTTGATGGCCACATTGCCGACAGCCTCAGATCCGATGGGTATGTCGACAGAGGGCATGCCAACATACTTGAATCATTCTATGTGGGAATTGTCACACCATCCAACTTGTCAAACAACCAAATTCTGTATATATGATTTGATTGTCTTTGTTTCTTGGGTGTGCTCTCCATGGCAACTATCTATGGTTGACATGCAGGCTAGTGACGCTCTGTTTATTGTGGAGAGAAGCCAGCACAGCTTTGGAAACCTGGTCAGAGAGCAACGCATGGTCTGAATAAGGAATCTGAGGAGTGTTTTAAAACAAGAACGGACGCTTCTTGAGAGGGAGTTGTCATTGTCACTATAATGCTATTGGCTTCCCAGACATGACATGCATCCATGCAAACTCACACCCGCACACTCCCGGCCTGGTCCAACTGTGACGGATCGATGGTCACTCCACAAAGTTGTGCAGCTACACGGATCCCCGCTTCCAGGGATTCACAGCTCCATTGACCGGTCGGCATGGAAGTGACCACTGAGTCTCTGGACATGTCGTCGATCGAAACCGATGCGCGCCTTCACACTTGACAAACCCCAAATGGCTATATAGCGACTGCGACATAATCAACACCCTGCCAAGAGAGGATGTGCAGAAGTCCATGAAGATTTATTGAAAGTTGTATGAAAGATGCTATAAAGCAAGCGCCGTTTCTTTCGTGGACAGGCTGCACTTCATGGGTCATACCATGGTTCTCAAAGTCTAATTGAAACTTTCCAGCGAAACACCCCATCGGTCATGAAAAAACAAACAGTTCTCAACAGTTTCTGACAAATTTTGAGGAGGCCAGAAAAGAGTTTAAAAAACCCTATTTTTGTACGCAATATATCCATAATATTTGCGCAAGTCGAACGCAATTTGAACGCCTTCGAACGTAATCTGAACGTAATCTGAACGCAATCCGAACGGTTTACGGGTATTCACGTCCATAGAACGGATATTTACGTCCATGATTTGATCTCCAAAAAACACCGCTAACAGGTTCTTAGCAATTTTGTTCCGGTTTGTTGTTTTTCTATCACGGTTGATAGAGTTTTTTGAATGTGTTTGATAACTCTTGGGGTGTTGAGCTGAGAACAACATGCATGCAGGGCCACTACAGCCCTTCGATGAAGAATTTCAATTTCTCTTGGAAAAACAGCCATCCACTCTGTGGGGGGCCTCAAATGCTTATTGCCCCTCAAATAGCGAAGGCATGGGATCAACTTGGCCTCTTGCCATGTTGAGAACCTTAATTTGTCAAACGCTTCTTGGGCAGAAGCTTTGGGATCGACCCAAGGCATCCCTTCCCCTCCTGTCACAAGTCCTGGGTAGAGCTCTCTGATAGCGTCGGCAAACCCCTGAGGATAGGTCCTTGGCCGATCGAGGAAAGGGCTGGGTGACATCACCATGGGTACAGCTGCTGGTTGAGGAAACATCAGTCGATATACACAAGTATAACTGCATGTAACAAATTGCACAAGTCCCCGACTGTGTGGATTTTAAGTCTTTGGTGCCAGAGTAGGAGGATTTCCCACTTTTGCTGATGGTCTTCTTCACAGTTTTGACGCTGGCCTTAAAGGATTTGAAATCCAGCTTGCCTTGGTCCAGCCTTGCAAATGCAGGGTTGTTCGTCCATCCCTTCTCCGGTTTTGCTGAGGACGCACCAAAGTGTCCCATGTACCACTTGAAGCGGTATACCTTAGAAGGCCGGCGGGCGTCGGCTGTGCTTATGGTGGTATGGAGGTCTCAGGGTTGAAATGGTATAGAGACAGAGAAGTTCTATAAAAGCACACATATTGATCAAGACTATACTTTCAGTTCCAAATCCGTCCAATGTCGTCTTTTTCAGAAAACCCATTACACATGGTGTACATATCCCAACTGAGTCGTGTCACACGAAGAAGCGAAGTAAACCATTGCATTCGGAAATACTCTCCAAGGACGGAGGAGCTTGGCTGCTCCACGAGGAACGACCCACCACAGGCCACTGTTAGCCCAAGCAAAAGAACACACCTGAGGTTCCATGTCATTGAGGGCACTACTTTTGTTTCAGTTCTTCATACATATATATATATATTGACATCCATCACAGAAAAAAGATTTTCTTATATGATAAGAAACCGTGACATCATAGTGTTAGCCAGTTCAACGTAGCGGCGACTGCAGTCGCCTTCGGGGAGCAATACCGACCTCTGACTTGTAAAGCAGTTTATCCGGACCCAGCTGCTGCACACCACTGCCCAAACTGTTGCGAAACAAGATTCACGGCAGGACAGGATCAGGTGTATGTACATCCTTGGCTGGTGTGGACGGGTTAGGGGCTCGTGGACTGGAAGAATTACACGCGCTCACCATTTGCCACGTTAGAGGTTGTTCTTGCGCATGCTGAAATTGCCACAAAAAGACCATGGTTTGAAGGCAAAAACACACACAGCTGGGGTCCTCGCCCCATCCCAGCATTTGAGAGGATGTCGAATGGGTTTTGGTGCACATCGTCATCATCTACCAGTTGAGGTCCCCAATAATTGATGTCCACTCCCACCGCTTCCACGCTGTCTGCCCTCATCGCCTTCCACACCCGACCAGCCCCGGCGAAAAACTCGAGGAAAGATAGCTCCTGACGCAGTGGCCGTAGGGTGACCCAGCTCGCTTTGTGCATGTGCATGGGCAGGGATGTTTGCATGGAAACATGGCAACTGCATACAAGAGATGACAAAGCAAAAGCCCACACATGATGAAGCCCTTGTGACATCTCGTGACCTCCCTTCATTGGCTCCTGTGAGAACGAAGGAAAGTTTGATGAAAAAGATACCATGATAACCATCCAAATGAATGCCTGAGCAGGGGATGAGAAACCCAGCACGCAGAAGCATTCGAGCTGTGATCTGGTGGTGCAACTTCGGATGTTCGACATATAGTGCTCATTCCAATCATTCCAGTCTTTACATCACATGCGTGAATTTAGCGCACCAGTAGCCCCCAATTTGTGAAATTTCCAAATACATCGCAAACCCCCACCAGGAGCTTGCATGCACACATGCATCAGCGTATATATATAATATATAGCTAAGCAGCCTTTGGAAGCTGCAAGGCCACCATGCGTTTGACTACCATCCCAATGTTCTGCCGACCAGTCACCATGGCTGACAACGAAGCTTCCCGCCACGGTGATCTATACAGTGCGAACAAAACCAAATCAACATAAATAGACAAGTTTTATCTGAAGCTGAAGTTGCGCTAATTAGATTTCTTGACATGTAGACTGCACACAGGTTTTATTTGGCCGGCTTCACAGCTGCGAGTGGGAATTGGAAAAAAGGTAAAGAGGTGCACCACAGCTTTTGAGATCGAAAGAGTGGATCCTATATACACTGAAGCCATATGCTTCTATCCCTTGTCCATGCACTTTGATTTTGCGAGCAATCAGGATCAAATATGTTTGCAGTCACCCTGGCCCCATAGAGCTTCCACCCCACACATGCAATAAGCGAGCCCTCCGCACCTCGCACATGCATTCGCGAAGCGCCTTGTTTGAGGGCGTTCCGGTCGCCCTTCAAGATCTTCCTGACTTTGCGCCGAGGCATGCTTTGTCAACCTGGCATCCGGCGCTGCGACGCAGGCGCTGCAAGCACTATCGGGGTCATGGGAAATCTATCCAGATGAACAGGATCAGGATGGTGCTTTAAGAACGCAACACCAATGGATTGAGACATTGCTGTATACCCCTCGACCCCCCCGAAAAAAAAATCGTCGAGTCTGCAAGTATAATTATATGTTCCATTGCAACTTTAGCGGCCCAGGAGTCTGGAATGGTCTTGACATGGCTGAGACATGTTGAGACTGTATGGTGACTTCACCAAATATCACGTGTTTTTATCTTCATTTCCCCGCTGCCAGACATGGGCGTTGGAATTCAACGCGCCACGATGAAATATGAAATTAAGATCTGTTGCACCTTCGCAATGTCAAAATGATCCTGCATATGCACTCAACGATTCGAATCCCCTGGCCCATCACTCTACATAATCACAGTTGCCCTGGTCAGTTCAAAACAATAAGTCTGAATTAAACAACTGCTTACAATGGCTCAATGAAGGTCACATGCAGTGCGCTACGGGTTTACGGGGAAGCATCGTTGCCAACATATGGAAAGAACCCCATGGAGAGCAAGCCAGCTCAAAGGGAAAGTTCATCGAACACCTGTTTTGTCAAGATATCGATTGGAAACCATGGAGGCAAGTTTTGGAACAAAGAACTTGTATAGTTGCAATTGCTCTCAGACTTTGTTTGGCATGACAATACTATACCCAAGACCCATGTTCATTTGTTGTTGGTTTGAAGGTTGACGAAAACTGTACTAAAAAGAAAAACATGTCCAACGGATGCTTGAACTAATTGTTTGCATATCAGACTAGTTGGCTTGCAGGTTGCCTTTGGCAATCAGAATCAGGATGTGTCCTGGTGCCCGGAGCCCTGCCATTCACTCACAGCTGCACTCAGCGAGGCTTGCAGCGACGCCTTGATGGATTCCAACCCTGCGCTGCATGGGTCAGGCTTGGGTTTCTTGATCTCCTCCGCGATGTGGTCAGCCTGGGCAACAAAAACGACTTGCAAAGACTGTTGGACCAAGATTCCCAGCTTGGTTGACTCAAACATTGACAACGTTTATAGAACAAACCCCGCTGTTCTGCTGCACTGACTATATACGAATCACATACAAGTTTTAAGATTTTTAAGGGCATACAGATGTGAGGGTTCCAGAGCACATGGCTAACATTCAAATTCAAAAGACAACATATATAGCACAAATGTTTGGAATTGCATTCTGGAAGCATAGATGGCCGCAACAACGTAGGATGCGTATGGGCACGGACATGCTGCCCCTCCGAAGTAGGCAAGGTGAGCCTTGCCTGTGCCCTGGGCCTTCTCGTTCTGAAAGTATTTGCGTTCCAAATTCAAGCCCACAGCACACCTAGTCCAGTACGGGGAGAATGACATGCCACAGTGCTTTGGAAGCTCAAAGCTGGGGTGGGTGCAATTGGAATCGCGGCACTCCTTCAGTGTTTGAAGGACCACTCCTTTGACTGTCTCATCCACTTCTCCCTTCGGCTTCCGTTTGCCCTTGGATGCCTTTGCTTTTGCTGCAGCTGGTGTTGCAGATCGTTTCCTGGACTTCTTTGGCTCAGCTTTGGCTTTCGGGGTTCCATTTTGCTTCTTCTTTGAAGACTCTGACTTCTTCTTCGGGGACTTTGGGTCCTTCTTCCTTGAAGACCCAGGCTGCTTCTTCAGCTTGTCATCCTTTCCTTCGGATCCTTTCTTTGTTTTCTTCTCTCCCTTCTTTGCTTTCCTGCTTTTCTTGCCCTGGGCCTTCTCATCAACCTGCCCATCATCCCCAGGTCCATCCTTTGCCGTAGGTTCCTCATCATCAAAGCCATCTAGGCCTGTCTTCCAAGAGGAACCCATGCGACGCAATCGCTTCATCTGCCGGCTCCTCACAGGAATGATCTTCTTAGACCCATCATCACAGGGCGACAGAGTCTCAGACCCCTGGTTGGCATCTTCAGGCTGCGCAGTTTCCGGTGCACTCTCAGCTGTGGCTGGACCTTCTGCATGCTGGTCCTCCCCAGCAGCATCCCCAGCGCAACCCTTTCGTTTGGCCGAACGCTTCTTCCGCCCACTTTTCGCACGATCTGCCTTCTTCTCTTTTGCTGTTCTTCCTTCCTTCTTTAGCTGAGCAGGTTCCTTCTTTTGCTTCTTGGTCTTGTCTTTTGTCTTCTTGGCTTCGTTCTTGTCTTCCTTCCTAGTCTTCTTCTCCTTTTGTTCTTTCTGCTTTATAAGCTTCTTCTCAGCCCTTTTCTCAGCTTTTTCCTTTTTCATTCTGAACTGCCTTCTTCGTGTGACCACCTCATGATCTGGGATTTCGACATTGATGTCGATACCATCCGCTAACTCCTGCAGGTCACACACAAAAAACATCTGTCAACTTTATGTGAGACTGTGCTAACTCGGCTTTCCGTGTATGGTTGGCGTATTATTCCAAAAAAATGACATATTTTAACAACTATATACACACAGACATAAAGTTATACCATTTAAGGCGCACATGCATCTTCACTTTGGAACCCATGAGCCTCCTGCAAACGTTGATCCACTGCGTCGACTTTTGCCAATGTCTCGATGGCCGCAGTAGTGTGCAAGAGCTGCGTTGGAGAACACAGCAACTGAGTCTCTTGATGGTCACTCGCTACAGGCTGCGATTCGGTCACAATCATGGTGGCGCCGTCGGCTTTTGAGGTGCCCACTGCGGAACCTCATTGGGTATAGGGTCCCTTTTAAAACTTTTGAGCACTCAAGACCCATTCAAAACCCTTTGAACTGCTTTTTACAACTCCCACCCAAAACACACACACACACTCCATGGTTTGATATCCAAGACACTGTCCGACATGTTCTTGTTGCTCAGAGGCTCTGCAGGCTGAGTTTGCTGCAGCTGGCCTGACCTGAAGGCAGTGAGTGCGCACGTTACCGTTATAGTCATTCCGTGCCCGTCTTGCTGCATGTAGGGGGGCCAGGTTCCTCTTTGTAGTCTGGGGGCTTTGCATATATAGCATGATTAAATCTTGAAATAGCTTTTGCATGGACGGTTCACCATGGCAGCATGCTGTCATGTAAAACCCTGATCCAAATTGATCGGTCATGTCCCTTTGATTACAAACGGTTGCAGCCAAAAGGCAAATTGATTTTTTCCAATGCTTGGATAATCAAATTGATGTCCACAGTCTGTGAGCTTGGTATGCCACTTGCCGGTGTTGGCCCAGAAGCACCCTCATCATCCGACTCAATCACCAAAACTCCCGCATCCTGCAAGGGCACTTGGAATGGTGAAACTATATGCCATGAAGAAAACATATATGCGGGTTTGTTTGAGTTATACATGGAAACCATATAAAACCTATATACGATCGTGAGCGCATGTTCTTATGAAGGCTGCATGGCTGGCCTCATTGGTCTCCATGATGGGTGGGTCGTTGCGATCGCTTCGACACGGGGTGGCTACTGGCCGTGCGACAGGTTCCTCCTCCTTTTGAATCTCTGCATCAGTGGCAGGTGGGCTCCGAAGTGGGCTCGCAACTTGTGGATGGCTAGGGCCTGGCAATGGAACATCAGGGAGTTGGCTTTCCAAGTCTTCGATGATTTGGTTGAGTTCAAACTCATACCCCATAGCATCCCCAGGACCATCAAACTGTTGGCCGAGCTCTTTCGGCTGGACTTCACCCAAGCTATCACCCTGAGAGTCGATGGGTTCAGAAGCTGCAGCAATCGTAGGTCGCCAGTCCTGTGCAGGATGCACGAACAAAAACTTTCGGAGATGGGAGTTTGGGAATCACCAACAAAAAGAGTGCGCGCAACTACAAAGCCCACAGAAGACTTCAAGCTGTCCAAGAAAAATCGGGGTGGTTTTGTACATACCCTGTTATTATTGGAACATGGTCAGACTTTCTTGAAGCACTCTATCACACGTCTTTTTATTTAAAGAACACTTGGGTTTGATCTGACAAGTGCTCAATGTTTTTCATGAGCGAATATGTTGAGTTGAAGTCTGCAGGAAAAGATATGTAACTTGAGGGTTGATATATTGATATATCATATATTGAACCACCAACCGCATCCAGACCTGCCTCAGCCTCGCACTGGAAGCCCAATGCTTCCACAAGGCGCTTGATCGCTTCATCCTCCAGGACATAGCAGTGAAAGGACCGTGGGGGCTGGATGAACTGGACAACTATAGATGACAAGTTTTTTGGGCAACTTGGATTTGCTCCCTGTGATGAGCAATTCATAACTTTAGGCCGCTGTAGACTGCAAAATTGTTTTATATAAACCAACGGTCCTGAGGTGGAGTAGTCCGATACGTGAACCTCTTGAGTTTCCCAATCATTCTCCTCAGGGACCATGCTTCCTGGTAGCAATGGTCTGCACTCCGGGAGAGTTTAGCCAATTGGAAGAACTCCTGCACTGCGCAGATCAAGGCCTCAATGGAGGGGAGTTGGAGCTCATGATCCCTCATGAGCAAAGCCAAGGGCTCCAAGACCGCACAGTTCAACCTGAGGTTGTCAATGGTAGCATCAACGTATCCTGATACTCCTTCACCCTTCTCATAGTCGTAGGTCAAGCACAAATTGTTGTTCTCTCGGATGCGCTCGCGGATGCTAGGCTGATTATCCCATTCCACTGGCACGTTTGCCAATGAGTAAGACCCGACCACACTTCTGCCGGTGCTTCCAGGAGAGCTTCCCCGGCTGTTTGGTTTCGAGCCAGCCTGACCACCCCCAGACCGGACACACGTGGTGGCAGCCATTGTCACAACAATCCCTGATTGAAAAACACCGGCTGCGGAGGACATGGACTTTGGCTGACCGGGCTGAATCGTTCAAGAAGTGATTGCTGCAAGCGCATGAGTTGTTTGATTTGTTTGAGCCGCCCATAGATACCATATACGCATGTGCACAAGTTGGCGGCTATATCATTGAGGTGTGCAAAAACAGACCCGCAATGACCATGCAGGAGTGGTTGGTCAGAGGTCTAAGGAGGGGCAAGCAATGCTTTCCTGATTGATCAGTCCCACCATCCACAAACAGGCCAGATTTACGAACCACAATTCAATAGTCTTCAAAGCTTTTCCCATAGCTTTGAGCTGGATCCCCGTGCATGGCAGCAAGCGCTTTGCATGGTACAAAGCCTTTCCATGCGCATTGCATTGTTTTTACATAGCTGAAGGATTCTGAAGGTTTCCACTTTTCTACATAGCGTTGCAGGCCAACCTATTGCAGCCATGCAGTGTCCAAGGTATTCATTTTCACGTGTATGAGGCGATACGGGTCACGATAGATCCCTATAGAGCTCGATGGAATCATGAAAAAATCCCTCTAGGAGTCCCTTCATGAAATCGTTCGTTGCATAGAGGCATAGTGCATCATGTTCCATGTTGAGTGACAGCCGCCAAGCTCCGGAAAAAGATTGGGTGCCTGATGGGGCGAAGGATTGGATGGTACCCTGGTGATTCAGATTGGATGGGACCCTGGTGATGGGACGCCTGGTGGTGTTTGATCAAGATTGTTTGGATTGATATATCCAGAAAGACAATCCGGGGAATGTTGAGACATCAGTATATGTGGCATCACACCTTATGGGCCAGAAGTTGCATTTTGCATTCAGAACTCCTTATGCTTTGCATTGAAGGATATCACAAAACCCTTAAAATCATGCCTACGGCAATTCACGTCCAGGACAACTATTGTCGTCCATATCCCTAAAAGACATCTTTCTTGACTTTGTACAGGAATAGGTGTCCCCAGGGTGCCCCAGGTAACATAATGATCATGATGCAGCAAAATTTAAAATGCATTCAATATAGAGCATTTTCAGGTCGGAGGCCATCGCTAGTAGGTAGGAGGCCATCGCTACTACTTTGGACGCCATCCCCCTAATCGTTCTAAAATGCATTTTAATATATTTTAATTCTAAAGTCTTGCTTTCGGTGTGTTCGGGATGTCTCATGTCCCGTGCCAGGCGAAGCCGACGTCGGGGTGGCCACGTTTTCCAGAGGCCCGGGGGGGCCGGCATCCCCGATTGAGCGATGTTGGGGGACAACGAGTGAAAACGAGGGGTGGTGCAGTTCGTGGTAGATCGTGGTAGTGGTTGGAGATGGTTTAAGTGGTTTTTGGAGTTCTTTTTCCTTTCGGATGGTTCTTCCTTTAGGTGGAGGCCATCGCTAGTAGGTAGGAGGAGGCCAGCGCTAGTAGGTAGGAGGCCATCGCTCTTTCATGATGGTTCTTCCCTTTTGGTTTAAGAGTGAAAAAGAAGGAACTCGACGAAGTGAACCGAGTCTGGATCGGAATCTGATGTCAAGGCGTTGTTTGCTGAGCAGTTGCCATTGGTTTGAGTCTGGTCCTGTGGTCGTTCGCTTGTGCTGGGCAGCGCGGCTTTGAGCGGCGCTTGTGAGGAGAACATGTCAACATTCCCGCCCTCAAAAGGGAGCCAAATATTCGACGATCCTTGATCCATTTGCTTAGATAAAGAAGATAAAGAAGAGACACCCGACCTGGCCCTGGTGCAGAGGGGCACTCTGTCCACATCACAGGCCATTCCAAACTCCAACTGGTGTAGATCTGTCCATTCTGGGCTGTGCCAGCCATGGATCATGCGATACAGCAAGCAGAGCTGCTAGGATGGCTGGCGCACCTGCGCTACATGAATTCTCTTTGCAGCGACCCTTTGTTGCAGGGCCTGGTGCTTTCTCGCTTTGGTGGGCAGCTACCAGAACCAGTGAGACTCAAGCATGTCTTGAAGAGGATCAGGTTTCAATGGATTGACTTTCCACAGGAACCAAAACTTCCAGCCTTGCTGAGTGCTTACGCCACCGCACAGTCCGGGAAGGGAACCTCACTAGATGCTGCACTTTGCTATGTGGCCCTGTGCCGAGCAGTCAACATTCCCGCCCGCCTGGTGCGTGGCTTCGAGCTCGAAGAGCCGAAGAGTGTGCCGAAGCGGAAGCTGAAGCGGAAACGTGGCTATGCCCTGCTCCGCCAGGAATTGATGAAGTCCTTCAGATTCATATTGGTGGAGTGTTTTGATGCAACCAATGGCTGGATTACAGTGGATCCCTTTGGTCTCGGTGTGACCGCCACGCCCAGCGTGTGGTGGCAAGCGCCGTGCACTTGGATGTGCACCGCGGAGGATGGACTAAAAGGAGGAGACTACTGTGAGCTTTCAGATGCATCTGGGAGATATGGGCGAAACAAGGAGTACCTTGCAAAACGGGCGAAACAGGTGCCCTGGGACCAGCTGGGTGTGTGGTGGGCATCTTCGCTGAGCAGGTTTTCAGGAGAGATCCATCAACTTGCCCCACGAGAACAGCTAAACCTTGGTGACTCCAGCCTCTCCAGCTCGGCCTCTTCCTCTTCATCTTCCTCTTCATCTTCCTCTTCATCTTCCTCTGCCTCTTCGAACCCTCCCAAGCGAAGGAAAGCCAACCAGAACAACAAGGCATTTCCCGCTCCAAAAGCGAAGGCAAGCCAACCAGAACAACAAGGCCTCCCCCGCTCCAAAGCGAAGGAAAGCCAACCACAACAATGCCTTCCCCGCTCCAAAGCGAAGGCAAGCCATCCAGAATATGGCGTTCGCCGCTCCAAAGCGAAGGCTCGCCGCTCCAAAGCAAAGGAAAGCCAACCAGAACAGCAAGGCCTTCCCCGCTCCAACGCGGAGGAAAGCCAGCCAGAAGAAGCCCTTCCTCACTCCAAAGCGAAGGAAAGCCAGCCAGAGGAAGGCCTTCCTCGCTCCCGCCGCTCCAAAGCGAAGGCAAGCCAACCAGAAGAAGCCCTTCCTCGTCGCTTTAAAGCGAAGGCTCGCCGCTCCAAAGCGAAGGAAAGCCAGCCAGAAGAAGGCCTTCCCTGCTCCAAAGCGAAGGAAAGCCAGCCAGAAGAAGGCCTTCCTCGCTCCAACCCAGAGAAAAGCCAGACAGAAGAAGCCCTTCCTCACTCCAATGCGGAGGAAAGCCAGACAGAAGAAGCCCTTCCTCGCTCCAACGCGGAGGAAAGCCAGCCAGAATATGGCGTTCGCCGCTCCAAAGCGAAGGCAAGCCATCCAGAATATGGCGTCCGCCGCTCCAAAGCGAAGGTTCGCCGCTCCAAAGCGAAGGTTCGCCGCTCCAAAGCGAAGGCAAGCCAACCAAAACAACAAGGCCTTTCTCACTCCAAAGCGAACGAAAACCAGCCAGAGGAAGGCCTTCCCCGCTCCAAAGCGAAGGAAAGCCAACCAGAAGAAGGAGAAGAAGGCCTTCCTCGCTCCAAGGCGGAGGAAAGCCAGACAGAAGAAGCCCTTCCTCACTCCAATGCGGAGGAAAGCCAGACAGAAGAAGCCCTTCCTCACTCCAACACGGAGGAAAGCCAGCCAGAAGAAGCCCTTCCTCACTCCAATGCGGAGGAAAGCCAGCCAGAAGAAGCCCTTCCTCGCTCCAACGGGGAGG